GACTAACTCTGTTACAGAAAATCCATGTAAAGTAGAGAATGGAAGGACTTTGAAATAAAGCTCATTCCAACCTGCCTAGACCTGCATCTGGAATCCTTGCAACACAAACACTACCAGGGGGCACAGGGAGAGTTGCCGCAACTGGTAAAAGCCAAAGCATCCTTGAGACTTCAACTCATACATAAATCGGACACCACTGCCTCCCTCCTAGACCCCCTCAAACACAGCTTCCCGAAACCAGCCTTATCCACCAAAGATTTCAAGGCACCTTTACTCAACTGCTCCTTTCCCAGTCTCTCCTGTTGTGTGTGCTCTGCATGGAGAGACTGCGGCCTCTGCAAACTGCTGGAGTAGCAGCTGGGTGCCTCCAGGAAACAGACCAAGACTTTGTTCCTCCTGCTGGAATTGACAAGCCACCAGGAGGGCATGGTGTTCAGTAAGCACAGAGATGACCCAGGTTTGCCATGTGATTCGTACTGCAGCAGACTGCTGGCACAGCAGCTGTAATAACCAGAAGAAAATTCCTCCAGTGTTTCAGATTTACCCTCCACAGCCCTTTACTCTGCTCAGAGAGCAAGACAGCCAAATTGCCAAGCCACTGATTCTAGCTCAGCATAACTTAATCCCAGTCTTAAGCAAAGCAATTAAGCATGGACTTAACTTTAAACGCATTGTCAAAGCCCAGTGGCTTAGTACAAGTTCAGACTTAAGCAGATGCTTAAATTCAGATTGCCGACTTGAGGCTTAACTTTCCAAATGAAGCCATGAAACCTTGCTTGAGCTCTTCTAGGGAAGTATGAAAACATAAAGGTTATTCTCTACAGTGACTGTGATACCATTAAGGACAAGTTCAATATTTCTTCACAGATGCCAAGCTCCGCCAAGGATACACACAGCCATAAGGGCTTTCCAGCTCCCTGGCAGACACATCTGACCATGTAGCTGCAAAGAGGGGTGGCCGCCCAGTATCAACACAATGTGCCCAGTATCACAGTCAACAGTCCTGCTTTGGCACAGACATGAAACACCACCCTCTGCTTGTAGAAGCTTATGGAACTACAGGGTTTCAAGGCAGGTCTGAAGAAGAGGAGCAGGGAGCTTCAAGCAGCATGGGAGAATGTACAAAGGAACTGGTTTAAAAGCCCAGCAAGAGCCTGCTGGAGACTGGCATTCATGACCTGGGGTGGTGGGAATCAAACCCTCCAGACGTGAATGCATATTAAAAGAAGCCCTCCAAGCATGATGAAAAAGAGGTGGTGATGTGCCATGTGAAGAGCTAGAAGCACAAGTGCAGCCACTGCATTTTCAGGAGTTAATGCTGTGCTCACACAGATGTGAGAAAACAGCATTACAGAAATGCAGATCTGCAACGCTGAGAACCAGGACAAGACAGAAGACTGTGGACGGTGGAAAGACCTCCATCAAAAAGTTATTACACAGGCAGACACTGCTTGACTTCGAGGTGGACTTGGTGAATCTGGTGAAGATTAGAGATGATAAACTTTGGCTGGAGCAGTTTTAATTCGGTGGAAGGCACAGAAAAGGTGTTAGGACAGACTTGAAGGAGAGGAACTTTGTAGTGTGAAAGTAAAATAGCTTGCAGTACTGAGATGAAAGGCAGATGGAGTGGCAGTTGGAAAGAATGAAAAAAAGAAAGAAAAAAACAACCAAACAAACAACAAAAACCCCACCATACATACTCTTCAGCTTGGAGACATTAAACATGGTTGTACTAACAGCAAAAAGCCAGAGAAGGAAAAGCTATGGCAAATATCTGAAGAGGAAAAAGGTATTTTCCTTCCTAATGCCTTTTTTTTAAGGATAAATAAAATCATAAAAGTAGCCGATTTAAAATTAACAAAAGAGTCGTCATATGCACACTATCATCTGAAGTAGGTTAGTGCACACAAATACAGAATATGAAGCAAAAGTCACTAGAAAATACTGCAGTTCTTTGTAGTAACAGCTCTTGAACACCACAGTCCTCCAAGGTAAGATTCCCAGTTCTTAGCTTTCACACACAGAGACCTAGACATGATCTCCTGTTAAACCACGGAATACATGCCTATCCACCAAGGGAGGGATGTAAATCACCAGCACAATTCACAGAGCCTTCAGTCCCCCCAAGGGTGAGCGGAACAGCAGCTACCACCACTTGCCTTTACCTTTCCTCAAGGAGAGGATCCTTCCTGTCCCTAGCTTGGCACCACAGGCTGTGGACAAAAAGGAGCCTCAAGAAAGGCAGTGACCATCAGCAAGCTGTTATCATCCAAATAACACCCCCTCTGGTGCTCTCTGATCACACCCAAGCGGTTACCAAGAAGAAGACAGCACAAGACCATTTTGGGGACAAGGGCTCATCCTTAGCAGCCCTCTTTCCCAGGTACCCTTCAAACCAAAGCACGAACAAGGTGACTGCGTAAGCAGATGACTGCACATGACAAGACAATAGCTCCTCTGCCTCTGGGGACAGCAGGGACACAACCTAACTGACATTTTGAGCACACTACATGCTACCAGCATGCTGCTCTCCAGCAAAAGGTGCTGACCACTATTGCTCAGTTGCACTAAAACTGCATTGTGACAGCGGTGAAAAAAATCATGCCCTTGCCAAAATAAACTGAGATATTAAGTACACTAATAATTAGCTGTACAAGACTCCTACCTCGAGTGTTTACATTTTGACAGTGCTGTAGCTGTACTCTAGAATTAGCTAAGAGAACTGACAGTCAACAGTATTTCGAAGCAACACTACCTGAAGACAATACTCCAGCATAGACACAGGAATGGAGATAGAAATCCAAGCCAGGATCTCCAAGAGTGATTCTCCCTGCCTCAGTGCTAAGAGGCTGTACATTCAAGATGCCTGAAGGATGCCTGTTTTTCCACAGGTAGGGGGAGAACATCTTCGTGACACCTTAAAGCACTTTGTAGAGCCAAAACACAGCCACAAGGATAAGGTATTCGTCAAATGCAAGCACACCAATAATTCTCGTGATGGTTCCAAAACTCATAAGACTGCTTTAAAAAGTGTTCAAAGCTTAAAAAGGGCATGTGCTTTTCATTTACCCAAGGGCACTTACATATTGGGATACCTCTGGGCTACACACTTGCAGTTTTTCTCTTTAAGCACGATGATCAAGAATTTTGCTTACTTTCTTTGAACAGCAAAACATAATCTAATTTTTGTTTTGCCTCAGTTGTCAAAGGTACGAAGGGGTAGGAGATTTGCAATAAAATCCCAAGAGTCAGCACTTTTGAAAGCTTTGTCCTCTCCTGTCGTGCTTTATCAGATTTTAAGCAGATGCAATTTGTAGCATCTGCAGAAGCTGGTCCTGGACTAGGAAAACTTTTCTTTGTGCGGGCAGTGCTCTTCTGTGTCCCTGATGCACCCGTGCACAGCACATACTTGCACTGCAACACTAAATTCAGGTCTACATGTTGGTAGAGAGTGGGAGTGTTGCTGAAGACTGAAAAATTGCTTTCTGTCACTGAAGCGAACTTCCTGCAAAGTATTAATCCAGTATCCTCACTCTTCTCTGGTAAATCACACTGTAGAGATCCTCTGGAGCCACTGCAGAATCTGGGGCAGAGGGTCCACCTGGTTCAGACCTAAACAGTCCATGAACTGTCATGCAGCCATTCCTCCAGATTGTTCCGAGTTTCTTCCCAACTCCAGACAAACCAAGTGACCTCACCAAATGACCACAACACCTGCCATGCTGTTAGTGTGCTATGAGTAACAGCTGAATAAAATCAGTGGGCTTGACCATTTGCTTTTTCAGCTGATCATTACACAAAGGAACTCTTTATTTTTTTTTCTTTTAAGTGGTTTCAATGCACAACTTTCCTCTGTTGTAAAAAGCCCACAGACACATTTGACTGACATTAACAATTTTTTTCATTTTGGTTTTGGGTTATAGTTGTATTAGAGCTGGAGAGTACCGCACTGCCTGTTCTGGAAAGCAGTTCACCTCCTGTGATTCCAAGGGGAGCTTAAATATGCAGAAGAAAGACTGCTCCTTAGTGTTCACCTTACTAAGGTGGGGGGGGGTGGGGGGGTGGGTGCCCCTGTATTCCCCCCACACCCAAATTGCCTACATTCCCCTTCCTTTTAGTAAGCTGTTGCATATCATAGCTTCTGAAACTGCAAAACAACTATTAGATAATAAAATCCTAATGCATCAATTTCCTCAATGACAAAAATGAATTATTTCTTTCATTAGCCTAAGTTTCCGCATTAAATAGCTCTACAGAGCACTGGGACACCCACAGTTTCAGCAAACACCACTGCTCCTAATTAAAAACTTCAAAAGCAAAAATAGTGAATTTCTGCAAGGACCGACTGCTTTAACTGCAGCTGCTAAAGGAGAAAAACAAACAACTAACTGAAAAACCCAACCAAACCAACACCAAGCCCCTAAACCACAGGGGTTTCGTATTAAAATGGCACAAAGGAAAACCCCTAAGTAACTCCCCACTTTTCTGGAAAAATCTAATTAGGACGATGAAGATCAATTAAGGGAGGAAGCTCCAAAACCCAGGACCTTCACGCTGAAGCATCCCCCCGGGGTGGACCCACCGGGACCAAAACTTTCCCGGTGCAGCGCGTAGCACCCGGTGAGCAAACCCACCCCTCCTGTCAGTGGTGGGCAGGGAGGGCTGGAAATAACAAATAAACCCCAAATGACAGCCAAAGGTCCTCGCACCCCTCCCGAGCGCTGGCTGCAGGATGGAGCCGAAGTTTGGCGGCGTAACGCCATGGCCCCCCGTTACAACCGCGTCTCCGGCGCGGCCGCATCGCCCCCCCACCCGCAGAGCCAACGGCTCTCCTGGCTTCTCAGCAGGGATCTGGGCAGGGAGCACCCTCTGACTCCCAACACCGAGGGGTGGGGAGGGCGTTTTGGGGGACCACGGGCACCCTCAGGGGACTGCTGCCACCACCTTCACACACACACACGTATACACTAAGGGCCGGGAGAGGCTAGAGGGTGCCTTACTTTTCTGGCTGGAGTAGCCCGGGTAATATCCATAGTAGCCCGTGATCCGCAAGATCCTGTCCTCGATGGTGGCCACGCCGTTGGGTGCTGCCTTCCCATCCATAGAGGGCGGGAGCGGCGCACGGGGCGGTCGGGCGGGACGCCGAGCGGAGCCGAGCAGAGCTGGCAGGAGGAGGAGGAGGAGGAAGACGGTGCGGTACGGACACGGCCGCTGCAGCTTGCGGGGCCGCCGGGGCGCTCAGCTCTGACTCCGCCGCCTGGTGCAGGACAGGCTCCGCAGCGCGGCGGCCCGCGCCCAGCCCGGCCTCCCCCCGCCCAGCCCCGGGAGGGAAGCGGCGATGGGAGGGCGGGGGGGAACCGCAGCTCAGTCGTTATTTAAAGGCAGTGCGGGGAGCAGGAGGAGGTGCGGGCGGCGGGCAGGCTGAGCTCCTTCTGGGCCGAGGCTGAGGGCTGGCTGCACACACGCTGCGGGGCTCTCTCCTCAGAGCAGCGGGCCCGGCTGAGGTGGCTGCGGGCTGTGTCGGTGTCGCCCTGTTCGTGCCGAGCCCCCGATGTCCCGCGGGCTGGGGATTGCCAAGGGGATGCGGTTGTCCGTGGAGCTGAGGGGGGATTACTCCAGTTTGCAGGATGGTCAGCGCTTCCCCACGCACAGGTAGATGGGGGCTTGATGTGGGTGAGGAAGGTGTCCTGAACTGGTACCAATGAACCACAGGCCTGCCTGACAGCAGTGATAGGACAAGGGGGAATGGCTTTAAACTGAAAGAGGCAGATTCAGATTAGGTATTAGGAAGAAGTTCTTCACTGTGAGGATGCTGAGGCCCTGGCACAGGTTGCCCAGGGGAGCTGTGGCTGCCTCATCCTTGGCAGTGTTCAAGGCTGGGTTGGACAGGGCTTTGAACAACCTGCCCATGACAAGGGAGTTGGAACTAGATGAGCCTTAAGGTTTCTTCCAACCCAAACCATTCTATGATGAAGGGATATCTGCCCTCTGCCACCTGGGCAGGTTGTCCACTTGCTCTAAGCTGACTCCATATGATGTTCTCTAAATCCTTGCCTGCATTTGTTTAAAAAAAAAAAAAAAAAAAAAAAGTGAGAAATTCACCATTTGGCTTTATAACCCAAAAGCTAACTCTCTTTGGTAACATTATAACTCAAAAGCTAACTCTCTTTGGTAACAATCAGGCTTTGAATTACTTGACTTTTTCCCCTACTGGTCCTTGTTATATTTCTCTCTGTTAGACTGAAAAGACCATTGGTAACCAGCCTTTTTTTCCTCCAAGATGTATTTCTACCTAGTAATCAACTCACTTTTGCCCAGCCCTCTCATTGTTCTGTGGCTTTGTCATACCTTATCTTCATCTACTCTTTCTCATTCTACTATTTCCATTAACTGGACATTTCATATCCCGTGCTTCCTTCTCTTCTATTCAGACTCATTTCTCCCTTATGTGCTTAGCTAAATAAGTTGATGGCACAAAATAGCCTTTTATGAGCACAAACAAATAATAGATGTAATAAAAATAGTTGTTGCTTTGGTTTTGCATGGGGAATCATTAGCTTGTTAGTGTTCAGACAGTGCTTTGAAAATCAACATTTTCTGGTGTATGAATGCATATATAATAAATGCACATTTAGCATAAGATATTAAATGCTCTTTTGATCTTTAAATCTTGTCTTCTGCCATGCTGCTAGGTAATGCTAAAGGCAGTTACAAAGCAGTGATAAATCAACCACCTATAACTCAGGAATTAGAGGCATAGCTCAATTCACAGCTTCCCTATCCGCTTTTTGGCTAGCTATGAAATAAGATTAGTGACTTTTAATGTTTTTAAATATATTGATTTTTTTATATTTGTCCAACAGAAGCACAGATTCCTGAGTGCCGAATTTACGCCAACTGACAACAGACATTTTACTTCTCATCTGTGGAGTGTTACAAGCAGCCTGTACCCAGACCGTGGGACAGAAGCAGCTGTGAGCCAGACCATGCATTAGTTGGCTTTGAAGGGTGCTGGGTCAGAGGAGCAGATAAAGCTCTAACCCCTTCTGCAAGATTAAAATTCTCTGTCCTAGTTAGGGAAGCAGGGTAGATGCAAAAATCACTTGCCTGGTGTGTTGTTTGGAATCTCTGAATAAACCACAAGTGTCCCCCCTTCCCAATTTCCCCTCCAGTGGGAGTTGGTGTTATGAGAGTGTTACCACCATTGATCTCAGCTTCAAAGTCAAATTTTGGGACTTACAAGTGTTACTTTGAAGAAAAGGAAAAAATTACTGGTTCATTTGAAGGTTAAACTAATGGGCCCAGAAACAACTCTAAGCCTCAAATTCTTTCCAAAGACCTTAGTGCTGGCTTAATTTTTCATCTCTTCTCTTCCTTTTATCCCTAGGCTTTCACGGACATGCTGTGCATGTTTAAACATCACTAGACGATAATACAAGCAAAGCCATTCTTGAAATTGTTCCTGACTATGGTTCCCTTCCAACATTCCTCTATGCAGTTGATGCACAGTGGCACCTTCTGTCTCTTTGAAAGTGTATAATGAATTGAATGTATTGTTTCTGAATTCTTACTATGCTGACAAATTTTCTCTTAAGAAAAGATTGTTTTTTCTGCAATTAGTCTTTTTGCAAGTTGTGGTTAAAGAAGTGCAGATGTACGAACTACCATTTATTACCAAAAAATACACACTTAGATGATTAGGGGCACATGGGGACTTATTTGTTTCATCTTTTCCAGATAAAAGGCCCATCAAAATCACTAGTTGCTAACATGATTTTCTTCGTTTGATTTTGATACTGATAATGATTTTGTTACTACTTAGTACTTTCATTACTACTTAGTATGCTAACATGATTTTGCAGAAAGTTTTGTAGTATTTACCACTCAGTGACTAAATTCTAAGGGTTGATCCAGGAAAGAGCTCTAAAAACATCAATTTAAACTGGAGCTTGTTGTACATTTTGAATTTCCCCTAGACTCTACAAATGGGTGTCTTTCTCTAGAGAAAGGAAGACTTACACCATTAACGGCCACAGAATTTGGCCACAGTTTTTTTAAAAGAAACTATTTAATTCCAGGCCATATGTTTGCAAAACTAACCTCTCGAGCGAGAAAGCGATATAAATGTCTCCTGATCATCTTGCTGATTCTGCAGACTGAGAGTCCCAGTGTCTTTTTTGCTGCTTACAGCTTTCCCAGACAGCCTCAAATAGAAAGGAACAAGAGTCTGGGTGTATTTCACAGCTGCCTTTTAAATCCCATTGAATAGTGCAGTCATGAAACAGTGAGTATCCTCACATGAGTAGAGCCTGAAGAAGCAGAACTTTTCCTTACCTGTCTGTTTTCTGACCACATTGACTCTGGTTCTTTCTTCATGAGGCAAAAAACATCTTTTTCCTCTTTTCAGCTCCTTACCTACAGGCAGCTTTGGTCTGTCAGTGCCCATTACTTTCTGAATGCAACTTACCTATGAGCCTCTGACCATGTGTAAAAAGATAAAAATCCTGCCATAGCAGGAAATTTAATGCCAAGTGACTCTTTCAAGTGAAAAAGTAATTATGAGTTGATCATTCCAAATTAACTGTTTTAATATCAATATACTGGGGGGGGGGGAGGGGCACGGGGGGAAGAGGGTGCGTGGTTGGTTTTGGTTGGCTGGTTGGGTTGGTTTTGGTTTGGTTTGGTTGTTTTAACAAAAATGCTCACTTTGGACTGCAGCTTAGCAAGAATCTTTAAAAAGTCATGGCAAATAGGACTTCACTCATGTCATTCATTTGGAGAAAATTATTCTGCATGTTATGGTCCTAGTTCTCCTCTCACACAAGTCATGCTGTTGTAAAACTAGCATAAACATGAAGAAGCTGAACCCATAGACAGGGAAAAGAAAGTCTGTAGGATCTGAAGTTCCTCTAATTGTCCTCTTGTCACCTATGAAAGTCACTGGAGCACAACCAGTTCCTGCTCACTCTGCCTCACAAACAGCAGGGATGAAAGATGGACCAGTCTCTCTGCTGACATCAAGGTCAGAAAACTCATTGACAATATGAAACCATTTAGTTTAAAGATGCCTGAAGCTGGCAGCTTGGTTTTAAGAGCTTTTTCCCTCTGTTTGAAAACTGGGGAGATTCCAGCTTGGAAGAAAATTTGAAGTCCCGTTCCAGAATATTTCAGAGCATCACCAGATATTAAAAGGTTTTGATTTGGCAATGAGCTAGGCAGCTTTTTTAATGCCAGTTGATTTCATTGATGGGAGGCAGATCAACCATCAGTTCTCTCTTAAACTAAGACACTAAGATGATATTAAGGATGGAGGGGAAAGCTGCCAGAAAAATAACATAAAGGAATGTTGAATAAAGAGAATGGGAATGTGTGGGAAAGGAAAGAAGAGGAATAAACAGAATTCTGAAAAAGGAGAGGGCTCTCAAGCAAGATGTGTCCATGCAGACACCGGAACAGTGACAGTCTGAGCTAGAGAAAAATGCTTTCCTGATGTCAAACCAGGCTATAGTTTTCACTCCTGGAAGGGGAACACCTTACTCCCAGCCTTTTGAGCTCGCCTGTGCTGTGAGTCTGCAGCAGGGTAGGGGGCAAGAGGAGACACTGCCAGAGCTGAATGCACCTATTCCACAGACTGTGCCCGAAGAAATGGCTTAGGCACACTTTTCCTTACTGTGCACCTGCAGCCCTGACAGCAGCACAGCTTTAAACAGTCCCCATGCTACAGAGCAATATGTATGAATATGTCCATGCTCTGATCCACTTGGGGCACTAGAAGACAGGGGGGTAGTTAGCATTTGCCCCCAGGATGCATAAAAATGCAAGCCCCCAGCTCTGTACATTTATTGTAACTAAAGCTAGCAAAAAAAAGAAGCTTTCAGAGCATTCATCATTTTTGTTTCCAAATAGCAAAGACAAGAGGTTATTCCTCTGAGCCCATGCTCTCAAACACTTGCAGGAAATGTCTGTTTAGCAGTAGCACTGCCAATTTATTGATGCCTGCTTCAAAGAGAGGGGAAACAGACAGAGAAAAGACTCAGTCCAAATTGTAATTTTGCAATTATTTGCTCCCTACCGGTCATTCAAACCACCTTTGCTCAGTGCCAACGCCAAAAAAAAAAAAGAGTAACTTGCAGAACTCCATACAAACACAAATAGCACATGGCTCTTGTGTTCTGCATTACTTAAGACAGAGACCCATTTTTGCATATTATTGACCATGCCTTTTGCCTTTTTAGTTTGATGGCTAAAGTTCAGCTGATAGACTGGTTTATACCCATTGCTCTACTTTTTCAACTCCCACTTATTCAGCAAGATCTGAGAATAATAAATGGCCGCAACTAGGTTCTTCACA